CACATAACTTTTCCGTCTCATCGTTCCAATTTCAACTAAATTTTTAATTTTAACGTTAGTGCCACAAATTGTTTCAACGAACTGGAAAACAAGGCAGCTGATGTAAGTGTAACAGGGGTAATCTGCCGCATGATCTGAATCTGAACACACCGGGAACCTACCGAGATGACCAACAGAATCCGCGCATGATTCATGCCATCAGCCGCATTTCGCACGCAGAATTTTGCGAGATTCGGCGGAGGGGACTTTACCCAGTTCCGCGTCGGCATCGCGTCCCCGATCCCGAACTGCCCCGCTTCCTCGCCACGCGCTGCGCCTGGGATCTCATCCGATGGATTCAAAGCCACAACGGCCACCGTGCAGCGACACGACCTGCTCGAGGACGACATGGCCACGGACTACAGAAGAGAAGCGTCGGATAGGACTCGGGAGGGAGATATTTAACACTCTGATGCACATAGTGTTTAACAATTTATCACCGGATCTATAGTCATGAGAATTCACGTGTCATAAATATAGATATATGGATGATAAATTATTAAACGCTAAATCTAAAAGTGATAAATTGGTATTGTATCTTTTGACCCACCATCTATTATATACTAAAGTCCATTAAACTTTCTACAAACGCTCTCATGCCGTCACATGGCGCTCTAAAAACGCTCTCAAACTGCCACGTGACACTCTAATAAAAATAGAAAAATATATAAATTCTGAGAAAAAAGAAAAACATCTCACCATTGATTTTTATTAAATTTGGTGGACCCATTATTTACCGCCATTAGATTAGATCTATTAAAATAATAATTCCTTCCTGTAATTAATCTCCCGTGTGTCAAAATACGTTCGTCTGGATTAGATCTATTACGAAAAAAATTCCTTCCTCTAATCTCCTGTGTAATTAAATACAATAGATCAAAATACGTTCTCAAAAAAAAAAAAGATCAAAATACGTTCGCCTCCGTGACTGATGAGGATGTACGTACGTTCCTGCCTGGTGGAAACGTACCGGCCCTCCCCTCACCTCCTCAACTCTTTTCCTCTCTTATTTGAAATAATATTTACTATTTATCATAATAAATTTTAAATAACTCTACCTTCTAAACTATACATACAATAATTATCTATTCACGTCATATATTTTTCTACAATTAAATCAATAACACGTTGGATCGCATTATCAAGTTATAACAATAAATATTATTTTGGGTCGTATTTTGACCCTTTATATCGTATCTAACCAAACAAAATGGCAAACAAAATGGCAATGTTCAAAAACAAAATTTACACCCATTGTATTATTTGCCATTAAATTAAAAAAAGTATTATCTATATTTTATATTGCAAAAGAAATTATATTTTAGGTCATATTTTGCATGTAATTCAAATAGACATGCGAATTATGAAAATGATGAAAATATAGATTATATCACTACATATCAGTTATCAGTTAACATATAACAGGTTATATGTTGGCGCTTTAGCATGGCATTCAATTATTATGACAAATCGTAAAAAAAATCAATGATATATCATCATATTTAATAACATGTAGGGTGCAGTCTATTGGGCCCATACATGAATAACGTAAACTATCAGTCCTATTTATCACCCTTTATAAGCTATTTTGGATACTATATTAATGCCCTATATATATTAAGTAAAAGAATAAAGGGAATAAATGTCATATTTTTTTCTCTAGTTTTCTATTAACACATGGTATATGGGTATTTCATACTAAGTTTAGTAAATTAGGGAACACACAGCTGTGTTTTCAGTGGTAGGCGACGTACCCGTCGACAGCGAAGCGCCTGTGGTGACTTCGTCAATCTTAAGAATTTGTCGGCCCAGTCTTCGAAGATGCTCATAGGGGTAGGATTTGCGAGCGTGCATTCATAGGGGTAAGTGCGCGTGCGTTGTGAGTATATATATTGTACTGTGTAATTCTAAAAAAAATAAGATATACTTTATAATAAGAATTGATCTACCAAAAGTGTAATTTTGTCTATCACGCTTAAACATTTATAGGTACTCTATACCTACTTATATTTATATAATATCACTATTATTTTAAATTAAATTTCAAACAAAATAAGAAAGCATATGAAGAAAAAAGAGAGTATAAGTAAATAGAAGTTAGTATTTGATTAGATGAAACTGTCCTATTAGCCATATTTTTAATAGAAAATATTTTCAAATTAATATATCCTAAAATCCATCAAAACATCTATAGTATATAAGAAAAAAAAATTAGGTTAATGTTTATAAACCCCAAAAATAATATATGCTAAATATTACCCAAAAAAAGAATTTTTAGTAATTTTCATATGAACCAACTTCATTTTGTGAGAATATTTTCTCATAAATTCAATACAGCATATTTTCAAGTAATTTTAGTTTCATTTATACGTTGCGAGGGTAATTAGAAAGAATTTATAACCATTGTTCAAAGCTATCCCAAGACAAATTATTCAAAACAAACAGATTTAGAATAGAGTAAATAAATATATTTAGAGAAAAATTTATCCACACGTAAACATTTATAACAAAAATCCAAGTAGTATTGAATAAGGTGCTTGCACATTTGCATGGGCTACCTTCCTAGGTAAATCAAAGACTTCCTAAAAATCCTGAGAAAAATGCAAAAAAAAAAAATCTAGCCATTGATTTTCATTAAATTTGATGAACCCATTAAAAAACTTTTATCTCTTGAAACCCGATCTTACCTGGGCCACGTACGTATGTATGTTACCTTTTTTCTTTTACGAAAATGCAATACGAAAATGCAAGTACGGGAAACGCGCCCCCCCTCCACCCCCACCCCCCCAGCCGCCGCCGCCGCCATCTTCCCTCAATCTCTTTCGCCTCTTTTCCACCTATTCATTTTCCTATTTTCATGCTTTGTTAGTTAGAAAAGAAAAATGCGTTAAACAATTTAAGCAACTATAATGTCTAAATCATACAACTAACCTTTATCCGCTAATTTTCACTATATTTTAACTTTGAAAAGAAATTTCATTTGGATTATATTTTCTAACTTTTGTATGCCATTCAAGCAATTGTAAACAATATGAACTATGATGATGATGATGATGATGATGATGATGATGATGATGATGATGATGATGATGATAATAATAAAGATTTTAGAGCTACAATCATAAAATAAAATAAATATAACTGTCAGTAATATTTCCAACATATATTAGTTTGAAAGCAAAAGTAATGCTAAAATATAGGTAACTATAACATGTAAATCATTCAACTAATATTTGATCCGCTTATATCTTTAGATTATTTTGCATTTAAGGACCCAAACCTACTATAATTCAACTTTGAAAAGAAATATATCACTTTGGGGCTATATTTTCTAACTTTTGCATGTCATTCAAACAATTATAAAATTATTAAAAAAATGATATTGATTTTATCATTGTATATATCTTCACAGTAGTTAAATTAGATGTACAATGATAAAGTGAAAATAACCTAAATCCCCCCATTCTAATATTATAATTAGTCAAAATGATATTATTAGACTTATAGTGTTCATATTTTTAACACCTACTGTGAATATACCGTAGAAAAAGACGTGTAAAAAAGATAGAGTTTAATTCTATTTTTAGTTAATAAAGTAAACAACTAAAATAGTATAACAAGTAATTATATGCAAGCATACTCTCTCCCCTTTCACTCTGTTCGTCTCCTCTCTCATTCAATTCATCCATCTTCTAATTTTTAACTAATTAGTAAAAATGATCAATAATTACAAACAACAGAATCAACTATATTAGATTTTTAACTAATTATTATTCTTAAGATTATAATTACTCCGTAGCATTATGAGTTTATTTGTATATAATTGCATATATAAGCCACACTAAGATAGCAGTATATAGTTGTTGAAAAGTTTTATTTGTTACTATTAAATTTAAGTTTTCAGATTCATGTTAACTAGGTATTATCTTTTAAAAAGGATAATATAGATCATGCATATCACAAGGAAATGAGGCCTATGATACATCTTTGTTAATTTATATGTAAGTATATAACATTTTGTGTAAATCTGAACCATCTAGAAGGAGGACTAATTTGGTGGGACAAATAAAGCATATTTATTAACAGTAATAGTTCTTTAGGATTTATTTTAAAAAATACTAAACATTCAATTAAACAAGACAAATCACCTTATTTTTATTTACACTTAATTTATTAGACATGTTTTTCAAACAAAGTAAATCTAACTTTACGATGAAGAAGAGATGATAGATAATTGTTTATAGGGATGTATTAAATATTACATATTTAAATTCTAACGAATAGTTTGGTAAAATTATGTAAGCAATGTCGATGAAAAGAAATAGAGAAATGATACTTTGAAAACATGGTAGGTGTCATCCGGTTGATATTTAATCTATATAATTAAGTATTTAATAAGCAATCTATAACACATGCCCGCGCATTCGCGCGGGCTATCTTTCTAGTTAATATAATGGTTACAAGGTAGAATCTCTCTACCTTTTACGTCAAAAAAAATGTGGCAAATAGTTAAATGCTGCACATAAACTTTTTTTGGGACTTCCCATAGCGTTTTGGACGGTTTTCGTAGGGTTTAAATTTGGCTCATTTTCCTTTCAAAACAAAGTTAGCTTAACTGCTTGAAATCATATTTTGTATTTAAGATACGAACTCATTATTTGGCTTTATGCTTATGCTTATTTGAATCAGTTATTAGCAATATAAACATAATATGGATAAAAAATTTTATATGTGTTCTTAGTGATTCAAAAGCAAATGTTGCTACGATGAGAAAACCACAAAATCAACTTCAAAATTAAGTTATAAAATTTAAAACTGCTTATAAGCATAAGTGAAACAATGGGACTCATAATTGCATACCAGTAATAAATATGCAAATGTGCCAATTCTCTATAGCCCGCAGTGCAAAGTGTGCAACATACAGCATAACAGGCTAACAGCAAACGCAGAAAGAGTGCAACTTGAAACAAGCCGGCAAATTTTGGATCAATCATTCAATAATTTAACCAGGTAAAATATCATACAATTCTTGGTAGAAGACTACAGTTACAACAAATGATGGGCAGTTACTACAGTTACAACAAATGCTGGGATTAAGATAGTAGTTCTTTCCAACATTTCCTCATCTACAGACTTGTACTAAAAGAGTAGCAAATATGAGCTATTTAGGCAGATCCTTAAGCCACACATGAAAAATTCAAGAAAGCTCTTGAGCATCACCATTATGCAGCCTTAGCCTTTGCCAATGCCTTCTTCCGTTGGGCAAGCATGTAGGTGAACATGTGAGGCGATCCTGCAACGCAGTGTTCTTGTCAGATCCTATCTTAATCCCAGCTACTAAAAAACAACATTGCAATTCTAGTTTTAATTTCAACCACTGAATAAAGGATGACTGCAAGGCAGGAGGGGATACCGGGCACGTAGATGGCGAGAGAAAGGATGGATGCATAGAAGAAATCAAAGGAGAAGTTCCATTTGTTGGGCATCCTAAGGCAGTATTTCTCTGATGCCTGCATAGTAGTCACAAGAAAGGAGCAGTTAAATTACGCATTATGCATTATGCAATGAACAACGTGGAGATCTTCATTTCTGAAGTTCATTCTTGTTACCTTCATGTAAGGCAAGGCAATGTAGATTAAACCGACCTCACTGCTGATACCAGTAGGATACAATACCATAAAGGTGCTATACCTGTACAAAATCAGCACCAGGTTTAAGAAAAAAAGTTATGAAAGAAAAAGAAAATCATTCCCTCTAAATTTGTCCTAAATAATGATATATCTTCTTTACTAACCTCAGCCATAAGAGCCAGGAAGGAGCAAATCCGAATGCCTCCTTCATGCCAAAGAAGGAATATCTAATGATCTGCAAGGAACCACAAATATTTCCATCACGTTATGCTATCAAATTCACAATATTTTAAATATTGGTGTGAATAAGCTTAGCACAGGAAAAATCAAAATTAGAATTTGGAAAATACAGTGTCTCTTTAAGAAGCAAGTCTTTAAAATATACCTCAGTGATGGACCAGCTTATGACCAAGGAAGTAACAAGGATATGTGAATGTGTCTGCAAGACAAATGTACAAAGGGGTCAATCAATATATATGTCAAGAAACCAGGTGTTAAGCTACACTACAAGTATGCAACTAACAGAAAACTAGGGATGCAAAAGTAAAGGCACTGCATTTGCATATCAGTACCAGTAGTTATGCCATTTAGTAACTTGTACAATCATCACCATTATTTACTTGATCCACAACCAGATATAAAACAGACAAACTACCTAGTGTCCTGTCCTCATATAAAAATCAAATCATATAATCCATATTTCCTATTTAGACAATGGTTTTAAACCCCAAAATTATGTCATGTTTCAATGTCTCGGAGAAACAGTAAGCGCTTAGGAGAAGTGTCTAACTAAAGAAGAAAATTTCCAAATCTCATGAACATAGCACATCAACACTTGTTAGTGATAGTCGATGATACCTCTGGAAAGCTCCACAGGATGCCCCAGGTAAGAAACAACCTCGATCCAATTTGTGGAAGAGTTGCAGAGACTGGAGACCTCACCAAACCTTTAAAACAAAGTCAGCATGTTATACAGGTGAAAAAAATGAAAGTGCCGTAAAAGTGAACTTATTAAGTACAATTATTTTCATAATCTAACAGGACACTTCCTGTAAATTGAAATGTGTCTTTGACGTGCTTTCTAACAAGAAAGTCTATTTCCATGCAGTTTGCAAGCGGCACGCTATAGACAGAAACCGTACGATTCCAAATGATGACAAGGATAGTGAAAATAACATAAGTAGAAGAGAAGAACAACTTCTTACCTACAAGCCCATGAAGAATCTGAGCCACCAGCAACGCCATCGCCAAACAAACACAAAAATGTTCAGTACCTCACAAAACACAATTTGCAAAGAAATGAAATAAACATGGAATACTCGTTCATTCTGTGTTCACCGCAGACTCGTTCAGCTGCTCCGTGCAAAGAATATAAATGCTTCCTTATCCAGGGAACTACAAGGAATTTAACACAAAGTATAGGGCAGCAGAAATTTTTCTTTTCTTTTTAGCAGAATTATCGGGGGAGAGGATCAGGCAGCAGAAACATAATAACATTGAAGTTGAATTAATTGCAGTATATTTTGCTATAACACTGGTAATATTTCTCTCAGGCTAAATGTTTGGTTGATTTTTAGAACGCAAAAGGGGATAAATTTTTTTCCTCTGTGCCATTGCTCAACACCAGCAACCCTAATTGGGTAGACGAAAAATTCAAAATTAAGTCAGAGCTGCCCAAATTATACAAGCTTGCGCTAAAATCTACAGTTTTACTGCGATTAAAATTCAAAAATAAGTCAGAGCGCACAGAATAGCAGAAAAACCAGACCTCCAAGAAGGCGGCGGTCTGCGCGAACTGCAGCGGCCGCTCGACGGCGGCGTAGACGGCCTCATGGCCGCTCTCCAGCAGCGTCGTGACCGCGTAGTACAGCACCTGCGCCCTGCAAGATCCAAGAAACCCCCAAATCAAGCCAAGAAAACAAGGATCCAAACGCCAGCAGGCGGTGGCGCGAGGCGGCAGAGTACCATCCGAAGAAGACGGCCCAGTTGTAAACGGAGAGGTAGAGCCGCCGCACCGCCGACCCGACGCCCGCCATCGCCGAGCACTCAGCAGTAGCTAACAAGGAGGCGGAGGAGGAACGCGAGGCCTGGACAAAGATACTGGCTTGGCTTTAATGGGCGCGTGGACTGAATCTACTATAGCTGTTGATTACTGCTCGCATCAGCATCAGATTAGAGGATGCAATCAGCAGCAGACTGCTTGCTCGGATTTGCGAATTCCGGTGGGTTGGAGGCTGGCCAACCAACGAACTACTGACGCAACTGAATTCGCAATGAATCGGGGTGGATGGATGGGGGGAAGAATGGCTGGCGGTGGCAGTTATTGCAGCTGCAGCTACCCTAATAACTGACTGAGCCGGCTCTCCCGCCAATATCATCCATGTGATCTGCTGCAAGTTCAGTACTGCAACCACTTCTCGTTCAATTTCGTCTTCAGAGTTCAGACACACCAATCAATCAGCGGATTCAGTAAAAATATACCATTTCCTACTACTTTTTTTTCATCACAAGTTCATCTGCATGACTAGGTGATTCAAGAAACATTTTATGCTGTTAAACTGATGGATTTATCAGAGAAAAGAATGTCTGTATGCACATCAACGTCTATCACTACAAGAATTAATCAGTCATAGGAAGCACATCAAGAAACAGAATAAAGATGTTAATTTTGTTCAGCTGTTACCTGAGTTGTTTTCAGTAGCTTTCCAAGTGATAGAACTGCTCAGCTCAGCCAAGTCAACTGTCTATCAGACTACCAGGTACTCGAAAATGAAATATCCTTGGGTCCTTTCTCACATGGTTTGCATGAGCGGCGGCGGTGTAGTGGGGGCGGTGGGACGGCGGTGGTGGGTAGGTGGGTGGGGGGGGGGCGGTGGGGGTGGGGGGAGAGAGAGGAGGGCCGGGGACGGGGCGGACGGGCGGCAGCAAGCCGGCAACAGCGGCCGGGCTGACCGCAGTGTTAGACTATTTGGCAAAGTTCCCATGATTGGCTCACCTTCCTAATCCTCCCGATCCTATTTCTATAAATCGGTTGAGTGTGATATGGAATGTTGATGCCTATTTGTACAGCTATTGTGTATCAACATTATTATCGCATTGTGTTGTATCATTCTAATATGGTATCAGAGCTTGGACGTTGAGGACACCTACCGCTGATGGGCAGAGCAGCAAAAGCGACCGGGCGGGGGCGCACAGACGGGCGACGACGACAGCGGATGGGCGCGGGAGCGACGGCAGACGGGTGGGGGAGCGGCGGACGGACGACGGCGGTGGCTGCGATGACAGTGGCGGACGGGCGGAGGAGCTGCGACGGACGGGCGAGGGAGCGGCGGCGGACGGGCGACGGCGGTGGCGGACGGGCGACGGGCGATGACCGAGAGGAAGTCGCGACAGAAAGAAATGCGTCTGGTGTAAGGGCATTTCGGTCATTTCACGAGCAAAGTCAAAACCTCAAAACAGCCCCAAGTGGCATTTTATTAAGGAGTCTGGATGTCATTTTTATAAAGACATTCTATACAGTGGCATTCTGTTAAAACCACTATATCAATTGGCATATTGTTAAATTTCTCATGATAGACGTAGTCTTCTTCTTCTATCTACCCTCTAGTCCACCAACTGCAGTCCTACAAACTTCATTTATCAAATCGAACGACCCGAAATCATGGAATCCAACGGCTCAGATCGTTCAATGGACCCCTCAACCTCGCCTCCCAGCATGCATCCCCCTAACCTATCCCCCTCCTCTCTCGCACACCCGAAAATCACTCACGCATCCCATGCCAACCGCAGTGCTACCGCCCACGCCCCACCATCCCGTCGTCGATTCCTGCCTCCTGATCAATGCAGCCAGTGCCCCCTCGATCTGGAAATTTATTCCTTCTGATTTCCCCATTCCAAAGATCATCCCATAACAAAACAGTAGTCCCAAACTGAATTATGCAATGTGATATGGCTCTGAATATATCAGTAAGCTGGATGATATCTCTCCACCAAAAGGAGCCTTTGTTAAAATTTAAATGGGGAACTTTTGCCCTATAATATGAATCCCAAATAAGTCTTACCCAGGGCATACCAACAGCAGTGTAAAATTTGTGAAGATGCTTTAAAAGCAAGGCCACATTCTGAATGTATAAGGTTATAACTCCCAAACCTCCTTTGTCTTTGACTCTACAAACCTTGTGCCAAGCAGCTAAAGATTTTCTTTTGACTAAAGCATTTGATCCTCTCCAAAGAAAGTTCCTTATAGCAGTGTATATTTCTTCCATAATAGTTTTAGGCAACTTTAGAGAACACATGTAATATGTTGGAATGGCTGATAGGACTAAATTTATCAAAGTTAATATGCCACCATAAGGGAGGAAAGAAGCACTTACTGTTAACCTCCTCTCAACTCTATCAATTAAGGTTGCAAAATCAACCACTCTCGATCTTGTGGTGCCCAAAGGCGGACCAAGATAGGTGAAAATATTCTCCCTCCAACTCCTCTTAAGCCTCTACCTGTCCACAACCATCATTAGATGGTGGTTTCCTACCTTGGGACCTGCACCACCGTCTTCAGGAGGTCGGTAACTGTCGCCATGTGGAAGGCTGGACCTGAGAGGAGCCAGTCATGGTTCGCCCAAGCCCTTTCGCGCCGCCTTTCGACTGGGTCACTGCCTGGTGTGCCCTGATGTCAGTTTGGAGTGTTTGGTCGGTGTTGAGGCGGTTTTCCTCCTGGTGTGGGCCCATTGATCCATGTAATATCCTCTCATTGGTTGCAGTTATACTTCTTACTTATGTTTTCTCTTGATTTGCACAAGTAATCACCTGCATACGTATATTCACCAACACTTTGGAAGTGGTTAGTAATAAACCCTTACCGTTAGATTTGGTGGTAGACATTGGTAAGTTTTATCTAGGAATTGACGGTCAAATTTGGTAGTTAAGGATCGTCAACAGTGCTCCGGAGGCCAAACGGCGGTGCGGCAGCAGGGGGTATCCCACATCACGGCGCTCCCACAGAAGGTGGCAGCATGCAGCGAAGATGATGAGGGCGGCCGGAACACCAGCACGAGCACTTCGACCTTGGAGGAGAGAGGAAGAGGGTTGTTGAGCGTGTCAAAACATGTTCCTAGCAATAGGAAACTCATTTTCTAGGAACTTGTTGATGGAAGTGGAGTGTAAGTGACTGGTGGCGGCGATGTAGATCGAGAGCAGACGAACAACCATGGTGGCCAGCTATAACAATAGAAAAGAGGGGGAAGAAGATCGGCCATGGTGACTAGCTGCAGCAACCTTTTCAAGGGGATTTCGTTTGTGGTGGCTTAGATGATGAGAATTCTCCCATGGCAGCGGAATTTGGTGTCGAAGCACATATGAATGCAAATACCTAGGGAATGTTGATATGTCCGCTCATTGCTCTCCAAGCTCCAATTCTTGGGGCTTTCTGTCAACAAGGCTTGGGAACATGCTGTGACACAAATAGATTCATCAGAGACTTCATGAGATGACAGATTGAAGAAGGTTCTAGTTGTCATTAATGGCAGCTTCATTTAGAACTTAGTGAAACCAAGGTGTTTGGTTGTTCTGGTGCTAGTTTGCTTCCTCTTATGGGGTTCCTCTTATGGGGGTGTCATGCTATGGGACGCACCTTGCCATTGTCACCGATGCTGACACCCAAACTCATACATCTATCACTTGGCATTAAGAGTGAAGGAAAAAGAGTAGTGCCCATAAGATATTCCTAGGACACATCCGTACTTTACACGATATTTCTTTCCATTTGCACCGGGTGTAATAAAATAATAGTTTTGGTGTCTTACCAAATTTTTATGATGACTTATAGCATATACATATTTTTGTCATGTTCTGCAAAACCAAACATTTGGGAAAAGAGTGTGTTTTTTTTTGTTAGTGTTGGCTTGAGTGTAATCGCTAATATGGAAGGGAACATCTTTAAAAATAGTTTCCCTTTAATTCGATACTAATGAAATTAATTAGGTGCGACTCATGTGTCTTAATTGATCCCATCTGTAGAAACATAAGAATGGCTATGAATTTGCCAAATACTCCTATAAGTTGTGAAGTGGGCCGGGTCCTTCCGTGTCCGCCCGGGCATGCATGTGCAGCTCACAGCCTAGGAACAACATGATCCGTTTGGCTGTGGGTCATGCTGGCACGACCCGTCTAGCCACATCGTTCTTGGGCTACTACCCAGCCCATCGTGCCAACACGACAAGTGCATGTAGTGAGCCAGCACGACATAGACCAGGAATAGCACACGCCCTGGCCCGCGCGGCACGATGGCGACCGACGATTGGTGAACAACCGCCAGTTAAGCAACTACCATCCGAGCAGAAGCCAGGAGGAAAGGAGAACGAAAGAATCGAGGAAGCCAGGGATCAGGGGAGAGGAAGCGATGGTGGACTCTCATCGACATAGGCATGCACGGTAGCATTGTGGCGTGTCCAACCCCATTCGCGAGCACAACCTAAGCATGTTAGTCATTGTGGACTCACCAGCTTGGGGCGAAAAAAGTAGGAAGCAAAGGGCCACGACGGTGCTTGACGAGGAGGAAGAGGAATGTGCTATCGGTGAGCGTAGGATCTTGCTAGAGCTTCACCGAAGTTTGTGCAACAGGATTCAACGGACTCTGTTCACATTTCTTTCTTATTATATATGTCAAATGTGGGCTAACCGGTCTCCACAAAACCCACATAACCTAATCATGCCAGGCCAACACGATATGACCTGACTGTTGACGGTCGTTAGCGATCAGTTTCAACTGTCAATATTACCAAAATAGAGGAGAACTAGTTATGCTTGCAATGCATATTTGTGTTAGAACAATAATATTCCACTAGTATTTGGTTCACTAACCTTTTGCAAAGAATAACTATAAAGTAGAGGAGAATCAACATCAAATCAGACGATAAATCAATTGGACGATGTTGAGAATCAGACTTAGGCATGAATGGGCCAAGAACTCAGAAATGACATAATGAATTGGGCCAAAATTCACAAGTCTGTGAAGAGAAGCAATAGAGGAGGCCGCCAGCCAAAACATGGGCTAGTTGGGCTGGTCCCAGGTTCGGCTGAACCCTCCTCAGCGCCATCCGATCCAGGGCTTTGCCTGGACGGTGTGGATTAGCCCCCAATGATGGTTGGAGGGTATTTCCGACCATTCCAACCGTCACAACCGTCATTGGGAGGCTATAAAAGGAGTTGCCATTCTCACTTCACTCACACACCTCAAGCAAAGCTCTCTCATATTCTCTCAAGTTTAGTTTAGTGTTCTTAAGCTAGTGGAGTAGGAATAGAGTAGAAATCGGAGTTTGGAAGCCTTCGGAAGAGTTCGGGTATGGCTCTAGTAGCTCTTCTCTTCTCTTTTGTAAGCTTTGTACTTTTATTAGAATACTCTTCTTTATACATTTATGGTATTGAAATACTTTCCGAGTATATGAATACCAACTTTACATTATGTTCATGTTATACGGAATATACTGCTAGCTTATCTGGGAGATGCATCAGTACGAGTATAGTGTTTGCTTATGCAATTACTCTATGTCATGACGATGATATTAGAGTAGTATCTGGTAGTTTAGGCATGATGTCTAGATTATGGGATATTATTATTTGGGGTTATATGCTGCGGATGAGAGGTGGGCCGTTGATGGTGACAGCTCAGTACAGATATTCCTCCGCGCATGCATATAGTCCTAAGTTAATTTCCTGGGGAGGGTACTCCTCCGTATTTAGCCCCGGTTGTATGGTCATGACGGGCTGTCGTAAGGAACTCGACAGTCAGGGGTGGCTTCTCGAAGTACCAGGAGGGCATTGGATAGAGGGTATTAGCTAGTATATTAGATAACTAGAATGTATGTATACTATGTATACTAGAAGTATAGGAATAGATTCTCTTTATATTTTCTTTCCACTTAGCTTAGATAATTTAGTATGAGAATGAGTAGCTTCGTGCTTGTGTGTCATTCTACCCTTGGATTATCTTAACCCCTGTTTAGACTATGATTATTACAAGTAACATATAAATTATTAGTCAGGTTCTGTCTACTATGATCTTCCCACGGGATTAAACAAATGCGATACCCTTGGAATACTTTCGGGTGAAATGCTACAATGGTATATTCTAGTAATGTCATTAAGAAATACCAACACTGACATCTCTCTGGGTCGTGCCTGTGCTCCAGCCTCAGCACGTGGGCCGACACGGCACGATCCATTCGGTGAGTCGTGCCTAATCGGGCAGTGTCCAAACATACCAATTATTTATCCACCATTTCAACCCTATAAAAAAATTAAAAAAAACCACCATCTCAAAAGTTCAACCCTAGGGGCTCCATTTGGAAAATGAGATTATGAGTGATAGATATTAGTTCTATTTTTAGATTTCCACCGTTTGGGTAGTGTGGGGATGTGATGTGCAAGCAATCCAGGTGGATTGATTGCTAGGAGAAATTACTAAATTACTCTCGCCATTTTGATGCCTATGTCATAAGTGAGTTATTCTCAGTAGGGGTGAAAACGGTAACGGAAATTCCCCGCCGACCGACATTTGTTTCCGACTTCTACCAGCCGAGCCATATAGAAATGGTAATCGACCGAAACAAAAATGGAAATGGTAAAAAAATATAGAAATGATTTTTCTATTATACCGATGGTTTTCGTATTCTTGTGAAAATTATTGTTTTTTCAGTAATATAGTAATTACCGTATTTCTAAATATATTATTATTTATAAGGTATGTCTTTACTTGGTCCACAGTTTAGAGACTGATTAACTCTTCAATCAAATCCCTAACTTGAGTGCATGGCTAAATGAAATTTATAATTTATGTAGTATAAGTTTGAATTTATTTATATGTACTACATAGTTATGCCAAGTTAAATATATGTTTTTATAATTTAAGGTTTTTTATTTGTACCGATTTCTGATTTGCACAGACATGTTTCCGTTTGTATTGTTCAGTTTTCACATATCGTTTAAATTTTCGACTTGACCGTTTTTCAATTTCGCTTCGGACAAAAATATGGTTATGAAAATGATTTTGGTTGTTTTCCGCTCGTTTTATCCGTAGCCCTAAGGCTGTGTTCGTTTCTGCCAGTTACCAACATCTCCACCACGTTTTCCGCACACATAATTTTCAAACTGCTAAACGGTTTAAAAAATTATATTGATCTATTTTTTTTAAAAAAATAGCTAATGCTTAATTAATCACGCGCTAATGGATCGTTCCTTTTTCTATGCAGACAGAATGATTCCCATCCCACACAAACGAATGAATGATTCCCATCCCACACAAACAAATGTATAGCAAGCCAGTGATCCTAACAAAAACAACACGCACGAAAACAGAGCGGTCCACTAGCGTATGATTAATTAAGTTCTAGCTATTTTTTTTAAAAAATGGATCATTATGAATTTTTGAAACAACTTTCGTAAATTTTTTTTTTAAAACACACAGTTTGAAAAACGTGTGGATGGAAAAGGAGAGTGGAAGTTGGGAACAGGCTCTCCCGAACACAGCAAGTTAAGAAATGAGGGACCCCTTTGCCCTGGCGCGCCGCCTCCGCCGATCCCCATCTATCCCGCGAGCGAGCACGGGGCGCCGTCGTTCGCCCTGCCGCATCAGGTGAGCACATCCTCCGCCACAGCCGAATCCCCATCCATCGCGCGAGCGAACGAGCAGGGTCGCCGTCGCTCGTCCTGCTGCTTCCGCCGCTTCCGTCCTCTTTCCCATCTCTCTCTCTCTCTCTCTACCCACGCCCTTTTTGTCGAATTTGCGTTAACCCTAGCTTCTGTTCTAGAAATTTGCCTTAAACTCAATACTAATAACTGTTTGATGGTTCCCCAAAAAGTTTGGGGGTTCAACTGAACCACCATGTCCTATGTTAGATCCGCCTGAATTTTCGGGAGAAGCTTACTTGATTGAGAGATGTCACTTGGCTATGCCGAGAAGCTATCCTACCGAGAGGATGTGGGAAATGTCGGCATGCCTGAGATCTTCGACTCTCCTGAACTCCTCCACAAGAAGGTTGGTTTCACATGCCATTAAACTTTTACCTCCAGTTTGTGGATTCTTTGCTTCAGGGTGGCAAGTTACGAGGGAATCATCCATGGGTTTTGTATTTTTTTTGAGCTAAATTATGTGGTCAAATTGATTCTTTTAATGGGTTTTAAGCATATTTTACTTTAGATTTTTGGACAAAGTGAGATTAGCTTGAAATGTAGTCACTCAATTCTTTTTTATTCATCAGTTTGGGCATTGACATGGTCCATAACCTTTTCCATTTTATGATTGTGAAAACTTTTAAAAGTATAATCATGTTGAAGTACTTTTGGTAAGAAATACGCTAATACCATTTTCATATGACAAATCTAAATAGCTTTACTGGTAAAAAATATCTTTGAATGTTGATTACATGCATTCTGGTATGATGAGTAGAACATAATGGAGAGTATACTAAACATGAGTGAACTTAGAAGAGAGAAAACATTTAGCCTTTGCTGTTTTTTACCCTTAGAGCTGTATGTGGGTATAATGCAGAGCATGTGTGTGATCTTTGAAAGAAGAGAGTTCTTTATTGTCTACTCAAAGTTGATCCCTTTAATGTCATTTCCTGGTGGCAAATAAGTTGACACCTACTGTCTTTGTTTGGTGCCTGAGTTCTATCCTCATCTTATAATTTGATCATGAACATGTTAGCATAAGTTATGCTCGGCTCCATGACAGTACTGAAGCAAAATTGATATCAATAATGGTTATGGCATGGCTCCAGCGCTCAAAATATCCTATCGCGCTGGAAAATATACTAAAATGAACTAATGGCTGTGAAATATCTGGCAGGCATTTGATCTATCCTCTTGTGGCTTTGTACACTCCATGTTGTAGTCAATATTTCTATATACTGATAGGGGTGCGCCAGTGAATTTATTTCACATTTTAGACATGTTTTAATTTTTTTACTGGGTTGTTGTCCAGATAGAAGAGCTTGCAGTCATGGTGCGAGAGGTTTGTTTTTCACTGTGAATCTCAATAAATTTTGTAATTATGATTTATATATATACTCCTCCGTTTTTTAAAATATGACACTGTTGACTTTTTGAGATACGTTTGACCAATCGTATTATTTAAAAAATTCATGTAATTCTCATTTATTTTATTGTGACATGATTTATCATCAAATGTTTTTTAAGCATGACTTAAATATTTTTATATTTGCACAAAAAAAATTGAATAAGACGAATGGCCAAACGTTTATAAAAAAGTCAACAACATCATATATTAAAAAAAAACGGAGGTAGTATATAGAAATTTCAATGAATTGGTCCTGATTGCTGCAGAGTAAGCATTTGGTGGTGTTTACTGGAGCAGGCATATCAACTTCATCAGGCATACCTGACTTCCGAGGGCCCAAAGGCGTGTGGACACTGCAGGTGGTACTGCTGTTTGTGCAGCTATATCTCACAATAGGTCAATAGCTCTCTTTTAATGGACTAGCAAAATGCCCATGCTTTGCTATGGGTAAAACAAAATATATGATATTGTCATAGATAATTTTTTTTAATCAAATATGGTACTATTACTTGCTTGCTTATTTGAATACTATTACTTTAGTATATTCACCTGATTCAAACAAATATTACTAGGCATAATATCAGAAAAAATCAGGGACTAATTTGTAAAAGGTGTAAAAGTAGTGGTGTTGGCAGAGCCACCACCACTACTAGTGTCTGTTACAGTAGTATAGATGAATTTATTCTTTTGAGATGGTTTTATGATGCTTGATTGCAAAGATGTGTCTGCACATACTGAAGTAGTTAAGTAAATGCAGTCTATTTTCAAGTGCATGATAGCTGAGTCTTCGCTTGGTTATCTTTTAATTTTGGTACCTTAAATTTATGCTTTATTATTATTTTTGGATTTTTTATATGCCACGGAACAGGTTTAGGAAAAAGGTTATTGAATGGTATTTGAATGTTATAATTAAATTTTAAATATTTGCAATTCCTATGGATTATAGTATATTTTGTGATCTTTTACATTTGAATTAATATTATGACACAGTCATTTACACATGTTGCATATGTTGTCTAGCGTTCAGGAAAAGGTGTTCCTGGTGCATCACTGCCGTTTCACCGAGCTGTTCCAACCTTGACTCATATGGCACTGGTTGAATTGGAAAAAACAGGACGATTAAAGTTTGTCATAAGCCAGGTTCATATACCTAACTCAAGTTGTATATACTGCACTTTGAATTGGTACCTATGTACAAAACCAGTCTCTACAACTACTAGTATAGTTAAATCAGTTCGTAGGAGTTGCAGATATTGACTGCTCACTTATTGTAGTGGTAAGGTGTTAGGATATTGAAATCAACACGCAATACAACTGTTACAGACTTGGGGCTGCGTGTCCCATGGGCATGCCACGCATCATGCCAGCAGTAGTGATTTGTAGGAAAGGCACCCCACAACTAGGAAGCCCTTACAATTAAAGGACATTCAGTCTTGTAAATATTGAGCGCAATCACAGCGGAGGAGGCCCTGCAGTTAAATTTTATTGAAAAAAATATTTGTAAATAGTACAAAGGAAAATTACAAGGATCTAAGCCAAGATTCTAAAAGATCTCTCTCTGGTCTTTTTAGTTTTAAAAGAAGATCCTCTTTAAAAAGACTTTGCCAACATGAAAAATGAGGGAACGCTGCTTCCAAAGATTAGATCATTTCACTGCTTCCATATATTCTATGCTGTATAAAGCACCTTTTCAATGAAGCACACTTGCTGGTGTTGTGCCTTAGCTGTGAATTGTGATCATTATGTTATTGAAACTCAGGGATGTATCCCAGGTTATCCCTATCTTGCCCCAACATTCTCAAAAAAAATGCAAACAAATTTCTCTTACTCCAATGTTGCACAAGACACAAAGAAACTCACTTTAATCTTGTAATTTGCCAAGTGAACGTGAAAACCCTTCCATCTATCTCATTCCCAGGCTTAGCCTTAGGGTGCATTCGTTTCTGAGGTTGGGGGGAGGTTTTCAGCTACATGCGAAACGAGAGCTCATTAGCAAATGATTAATTAAGTATTAACTATTATAAACTTGAAAAATTGATTTATTTGATTTATTTAAAGAAAATCCTATATAGAAACTTTTTGCTCAAAACACACCGTTTAGTAGTTCAGGAAGCATGCTAACGGAAAATGAGGAAGTTGTTTGCAGTTGCCGCTTAGGACTCAGCATTAGTTCTTTTCTGATTATTCACCTGATTATTGAAACAGATTATTTGCTCCACGCTTCGAAAAATACATTTTCTCAAAAAATTCTTTTACTGAATTTCTTAGACCACTTATTTTAAGCTATTTATTAAGTTAATTTATCAATATTTACTTTATCCCTAAAATTAATTAGATAATCGGCAGCAACAATCCACTCAATAATCTGTTTCAAACTAAGCCTTAGCCTTGTAATGACCATCGGCATGGAAGAGCAGCTAGCACCGAAGACCGAGTATGTTTCTATCTCTCCGGTCACTAATACCAATAACTCCATTTTCCATGTTTGACAAACTTCAGTACTAACTTTGTTGTGTTTTAAATTTAATTACAATGTTCTGTCGTGTGATGAACAAATTGATTTTATCACGATCAAGCTTATGGTATTTATGAAACTTAAGCTTTCACGGAGCTGATGGAGTTGTCTTTGCCAGAATGTTGATAGCTTACATCTCCGCTCTGGCCTCCCAAGGGAGAAGCTGGCTGAATTGCATGGAAATTCTTTCAAGGAGATCTGCCCAAGCTGTAAAAAGGAGTATGCTTTAGCCTGCTTTACTTGACTATACTTTATCTGGGACTATAAACACCAAAATATTTCCTTTTTTACTGTGGTGGTTTATTTAATTGGCTTATTCCAGATCCCACTTGTTTGAAGGTACCTTCGTGATTTTGAAATTGAGACGATAGGACTGAAGGATACTCCAAGGCGTTGTTCTGATAAGAACTGTGGAGCTAGATTAAAAGACACAGTTCTTGATTGGGAGGTACGTTTCAAATGTGCTGGACTTAAGTTATATTTATATTTCTTTGTTAGTGGGCCATACTTGCTTAGCCCTTTAGCCCATCTGCAACAGATTCTTGCTTTTGTGTTTTTTCCAAAAATTGCCAAGGTGGGTGGTTCATTTGTTGGCAATTTGGCCATAAAAGCTGGCTTTCTCCATTTCAACACAAATCAAATTTACAAACAATGCATGCTTAGGGTATTCACTGTGAAAAGCTTTAAGCTGTTTTACAGACTATTATGTTTTTCTTACGACTAGTATTCAACATGATATCCTCTGTACGTTCACTATAACAAGAAAATAAATAGAGAAGTTGGTTAGTGATGTGTTTGCCTTGTTATCAGTTAAGTAGTGGTGTTCTGAAATGCTATCTTGTTCTCATGTCTTCGCTCGCTGATAGACAATGAATAAGTGGGTAAGGACATTTTGCAGGATGCTTTACCCCCTGAGGAGATGGATGCTGCCAAGGAGCAGTGTCAAAAAGCTGATCTTGTCCTATGTTTAGGAACTAGGTATTGGCCATGGTACCTGTACACACTAGCTAGAATTGCTTTCACGTGGTTTTATTTCATTACTGAAATTAGTGTGTTTACACGCAAGTTCTGTGATTCTATCTCCTGCAAACTTAATTTTAAGAATTTGGTACTTCCGTACTTTTGCGAATGGCGGTATTCTGGTGTGATGTGATATCATTGTAAATAGTGGCAAACAAATAGCTGTCACATCATTGTGTAGAAAAAGTGGCAAACAAATAGCTGTAATTGCTTTTTTAGATGGCTTTTCTAATACTTTTAAATTAGGGAAATTTGCCATGTACAACTTGGTTCTAGCTGTTTAATAAACATACTATTATAGAAAAGATTGGACCCACAAATACCACAATAGAACCACATAGTGACCTTGTTCACCAGTATATGGATTTATGGATGTCAAGTTGGACTACCATAGCAGGGGAAATATGTACTGGAAACCACATATCAGGTGGGTGGACGACTGCCAGGTGAACGTCCATATTGTTCCTGCCACCGTTGCCTGATCCAATACATTACCTCCTTTCTCAACAACATTTTAACTTTTTAAGAAAGGATGACTGTTTGCTTTTATTATTATTTTTATTTTTGTAAAATAAATGGAAAGAACATGTTCGATACTTCTGTTAACTCCACAGCAGGGGCATAGTTATGTTGGGCAATTGGCTGTCTGGGTGAGGATAACTTTAGGATTACTATTCAAAACACACCTTAAATTTTGAATTCTATACTAAAATGTGGTACAGTTTTTCTATGTTTGAACTGGAAGATCAATGGCTAGACAAATATTTCTTTGTATTATCTTTATGTTAGAAAATTATTACCTGATCAAATATGCACTTGATGACATGTCATAAACTACCATGTAGTTCTTCAATAATTGGGATCCATTTACTCTAGATGCATGGAAGTGTGGGTTTTGCATACTGCTCCTTTTATGGAATGCTTGGCACTAGGAGTGAGCCCCATGATGCTGCAAAAGCAGTAAAAGCATGTGTATATTCTACTCTACAGTTGCACAAATATGGACATGTAACACAAGACTCAATATTTCCTCATAATGCCTATGTGACATCATGGACTCATTGCTGTAAGACAAGAAGTATTCCATTCACTAAATCATCTCAACTTTGAAAAACGGATCATTCCATGAGGAGTGGTAGGTCGGTGTTGTAGTGTCTCTTAAGGCTATTGTAAATTGGTTTGTGCATCCATAGCATAGTGAGTCATCTGGGAATGCTTTATAGGTGGGAGCTGTAATCTGGATTGGTCCATAGCCAGATTCAGGGCTCAGAAAACCAGGGTAACTTGCTGGTTAGCACCCTGCAAACCTTCAATCGGGCTGGTTCATTTTTTTTCCTAATCTGAGCAGTTCACGCTTTACTACTCACTCAAATTAACTTCAGTTGGAATAGGTACATATAGGCTTCTAATAGATTTTTCTCGAGAATCTTAAAAAAAAAACTTAAAATGGTTTTCGCCTAATACTTGCCAACCAGCCAAGTTCCAATTTCAGTACTGATTCTGTTATCTCAAACCCTGTTATTAATATGTTATGCAGCTGCTTGCTTTTGATTTGTTAAAAAATCAAAGGAGTGATCTTTGACTTGTCTTAATGAACTGATCAAAATCGCTTTGATATGAATTCATTAGTAATGCTCTTGATATACCGGTAACCATTCTTCAATGCCCTAACTATTTGACATTTTTGTTTAACAACTTTATGTTAATAACGGGTGATGTCTCTTTGTCCCTATCCTTTTCTGATTTCCACTACTGTGCAGTCTGCAGATTACTCCTGCTTGTAATATGCCTCTGTTGTCACTGAAGAATGGGGGGAGGGTGGCTATTGTAAATCTTCAGGTACGTGCAACTAAATAACAATATTAAGTCTTGAGAAGCACTAAATTGAATGCACGTTATGGTTCTTCCTTCGTAAGGTCTTTCTATGTAGCACTAAACTATGACTCAACTCATGGATGTTAGTATTTATGGCTACATATAAATTATTAAAATATCTTTTGGCATGTTTTGGAAATTTCAAGTTTGTTATATGGCTGTTTCTTTATGCTTCTGACAAAATTTGTAGTTTGTACTGCTTCAACTTGTATACTTAGACTTGGGGTTTATAATTGGATTCCTGATCCATTATAAAGTTAGAAATTGCAAATATGGTATTTACATGCACATGGTGTACAATTGATGCAACTTTTGCTCTCTCCATTTTTGAATATTTGCATTCTAGGTTAATATTTTGTTCCCAGATATAAATCATACTATCACCTCAAGACAACTTTTTACTTGTCTGTCCTATATACCCCTTCCTTCATAATGCAATGTTATTTGAATTTTACCTTCCCAAGCATAACCATCCAAAGGGCATTTACTAGTATAGACTTAATCAGGTTATGTACAATCCAAAGAACCATAAATACATGCTTTCCATCCATATTTCTCAAATATTCGATTACACATGCTCATGGGTTCATTCATGTGCTAGTTTTGAATGTGCAGCCAACTGTTCATTTCAAATAGGCATATGACTGAGCTAATGTCACAACCCAAGGCCATGGCGAGATAACCACCGCCGGGAGGATAACTGGGTGGCGTCGGCTCGTGGAGAAGGGATGTAGATTTAGGCTAGGGAGAAGAACATTACGGGAAGGGAGATATTAGACTAATTGATATTCATTGCTTAATTGATAATAGACATAATCCCATCCTTTTATAGATGGTACAACTTGACCCCTAAGTAAGATTCAATCTTATCTTATCTCTAACTTAACTGGTATGGGCTATCCATGGGCCTTGGCCTCATGACCTAATGCCCGTGACAGCTAATGAATGAATTAAATGATGTTTTGCCATGGCTGCATGGAGCCATATTAGACGGAGCTATATGAGACATGGTGCAGTAGGAGTTATCACACAGTAACCAGCAGAGGTGTTATGCCAGTTAAAGGCAGGAGAGAGGGCGAGTAAGTTAGAATTTAGAGACCAGTTATTGCTTTATTATATATTTTGGTTAGTTATTAGTTGCACTTGCACAAGTTGTTACCATTCTTCTTTGATTTGGAGATGCCTAGGACAGAAGGTTATTGTGACACACTTTTGGGTAACAAGGAATGATGGATTCTAGTTTTCCTCTATTCTCCAATACAGTCTAGTGCCTTTAGCTGGTGACTAGTGGTTTGGAAGAGCTCCTGGCTGGCTGAATGGTTGACCAAGGGCCAGAGCCCTAATTCTAATCTCGGTCTTCAGACCCTAACCCTATGATGCTCATAACAATGAAGACAATTTGGTCTTTTACACAGGTGTCTTGGCTGATGAGCAAAATTCTAATACATCATCTATTAAGGATTGGAGGGAGTAGTTTTTAAAATGTGAAATCTACTAAGTGGTTATACTTCCAGAATTTTCAAAATACAACATTGGTCATTTTGCTCATCTTAAAAAAATGAGCCTTTTAATGGTCAAGATTGTAATATAATAATTAATAAACATAGATTACATTGTCATATATGGATATATGTATATTTGTAATGTAGATAAATATTGAAAGTTTACAATGACATGTGATAAATCCCCAAAAGAGATGCAGACAGATATTTTTTTTTCATTTCTTGTCTCCTTCGTATTCAGGCAACTCCGAAGGATAAAAAGGCAAGCCTTGTCATTCATGGACTTGTGGATAAGGTAGGTATGTTAGTGAGTTTCATTTGTTTCTATTTCATCCCCTTGCGGTAGCTATTTAACCGTGTTAGTGCAGGTCATTGCTGGGGTTATGTATATGATGAATCTGCGTATCCCTCCATATATTCGTACTGACTTTGTTCAAATTAGTCTCCGGAACTCGGTCAAAAGTACGATCATCTCACCATCTCTCGCATTGTCATTCTTATCTAGTTTTGAACATTGCTTTTAGTTACGTACAACAAACTGAGGTTAGTTAATAAAGCTGAATACTGTTATCATTAAAGCTGTATCATTAGTTAGATGTTGAACAACAAGAATTATCAGGTTATTTCGAACTATAGTCTCAATATCATAGGCATACTACCAAATGTGATACACGGTTATTTTATGTTGTGTCCATCCATAAATAATAGTATTTTTTCATAGGATCTTCCTTAGCAATTCTCGGTATCATCTCAACAACTCGATGGACAAAATGATATTTTAGCCTGTTTTATCCTAGAAGATAGATTTGAATTGCTTATTAACTCAAACCGCACCACTGCTTTTGTTTTGCAGAAAAATGCGTGAGATGGACTCTCCGAGTAACAAGCATTCATGGCTTGCGAGCACCTTTGCCATTTCTTCGATCAGTTGAGGTTGTGCAATTATTTAACTGATAGTACATCAACATACTCTTTGATCAATCGAGAACAAATAGATTATGGATAGCTACTCCGTTCTCATTGTAGACTTATTCATAAGGATAAAAAGGGTAGATTAAATGAAATTTTGGCCATTCATTTATACCATGTTGGAGAAGAAAGATCATTTGTTTATGACTGAGAGCATTTGTTTAGCAATGGCAAGCAAAGTTCTAAATAGCATATAGCAGGGTCATAGCAGATTGGGGTTGATATAGAGGCTAGCGGGTAGAGGGTACTATATTCCAGTGGTGGAGTTAAAAAGAAAAACTCTAGATTAGATTTTGAGTTATTCATGAATATACTCATGACTTACCTTACCTCAACATAGTAAAATAGTGTACGCAAGTTTACAACACAAGGAAAAGATAAAAATGGACATGTATTATGCTAATTTATAACAAGCCAACAAGGTGTTCAAATGAACAATCAACACAACTCAGCAAGGTAACACAAATTCAAGTTTCAAATTTCATTCTAATATTGCAAACTTAGTAGACAAACAACTTTCGGAGAATGAACTCTCACATTAGTCTATTTTGCTGTAAGTTGTAGTTTCATGGTTGTTAAGGCGTTCGCCTTAGTGTTCCTAAGGCGGCAAGGCACTGCCAGGGTGTAAGGCGTCCGCTCCGCCTCACGTTGCCTCCGCCTTGCGGGAAAAACTAGAGGACAAAGGCAAAATCAAGGGGATAAACCGGTCCTGGAGAAGCAGGCGGTAGTAGGGGAAGGGGTAGGAATGAAAAGAGCTGACCTACATCGTCGTCGCTGACGTCCCCAACCACCGGCAAAGCCAGATCCACTCTTAGAATTGTGCATTACTCTAGGTTAGAGGCATAAATTATCTTCGAAATAGAAACTAGTCACTAAAAGTAGATTGAACAGCCATCTTGAAATTTCTAGACTGACATATTTGGGAAGAAAATAGCAAGAATGACATGTATCTAGTGATGGTAGAAGTATATTTTAGTAGCTGATACTAACAAAACCAGTCATTTTCTTCTGAAATAGCATGGATGTTAGAAGCTAATTCTCAAATTACCAAATATATATGTGTAAAATATTTCTCCATTATATTATATGGATATAGTGATATATGATTAAACTATTCTGACTTACCAACAGGTTTCCTTTCCTGAAAGACCTGACATGAAGCCTGTAGTACTAAAGGAGCAACCATTTTCTTTGCAGAGGTATGTTGGAGCATTCAAAGTTCCCGAGTAGACATTTGAGGTCTGTGGCATATTTCACAACAGGACACTTGTTACTTTTGTAGAGAAACATCAATGAATAGACCGTTTGTCATGCTATTGACATTCAACTTTAGTGATGGTTGCGGCTGTTCGAGCTCTTCCATTGAATGGCCTGTTGATTTTCTGGTAAGGAGATTCTGGCAAACCTTCATCTTCAAATTTCTGTTGCCTGCAGTTGGCAATATGTTAGAACCTCCAATTGAACTTTATTTTGTGTAGGGTGGGACCAATAGAATTTTGTTCAGGCATCTGTCTAGGTGGTGATGGTTGACGCTAGATAGTATTTGACTTTTCCTATATTTTCGAGTTTTGGTCTTATTATGAGAAATAGCTACATAGTACCCTGCTGTTCATATGGACTGGATCTGTATTGTTGTAACGTGCTAAGCATTGCATGCATTAGAAACTCGATTTCTTCCATTTCTGATAGCTTGCCAGGTGCTCAGAATTGGCCAATTTAGGGTGTCTCATCACTTTTTCCTGTTTCTGTGATTTTTCAGCAATACTTTGAGTCTTAGTCTTCTCCCATCCCATATGACTGTTAACATCATCTTAGGGTGTGATTGTTTTGAGGGTGATAGGATGGGGCGATCCATAGTTTTTGGGGCGATCTATGTTAGATGTTTTGGTTGGGTGGACGGGATGAGCCAGTACCTTCTGACTTGGATTGGGAAGGCCTGTAACTGGTTGTGAAGCAGGAACTGGCTGTTTTTTTTGCCTTTTGCTTTATTCCTGCATATGTGACAAATAGATAAATCATACAATGAACCAAGCTGTTATGATATTCAATACGTGCTAAAATATACTATACTGGTAACATGAAGAGGACACCTTTTTGTTCTTGTTCCTTCCGATGAACTTGAAGTGATGGATTAGCCATAGAAATAGAAGTTATTATGCATTTACTTCTGTCCTCAGTTAATTTGTACCTTCTGCATATTATCCTCTTAAGACATGCATAAAATCAGCTCAACGTGTTAATTAACATCATTGCATCAGATACACGTCTTTCCTTACCATATTTCTCACTTCTCAAAAATGTCATTATACAGAAGCAAAAAGACAGCTTTGTCAGGGATAGAAGTCTAGTCCTGCAAGAGTTGCAACATGCTGCAGAGCATCGATCACGTGCAGGGCAGCATGCAATTCTGGAGAGGGAGGGTGTGCCAAGAGCTGAAACGTCAATTCATGCACTTGTGACCAACATCGTCAGGTATGATACTGAAGATAGCAAGGCGGCAGTTCCCATGGCTACATGGATGAACAGCAACGGCAGCCTTTCGAAACGGCATATGGATGCCATTGGTTGCAACCCAGCATCGTCAAAAAAGCAGAAGTTGGTTGCTACTCGTCATCGGCGAAAGGGCTTGAACCCTGCTACTCAGAAAGTTTGATGGCTGTTTGTTCTAGTTGTCAGACTAGAGTTAGGATAGATGCATGAGATGTTCACAGTAGCTAGAGTAAGGTGTTAACAACTTCTAGTGCATGTGAAAGCTGGTAGAATTTTAACTTGACAAGCCCAACGTAATTCAGCAACCATCTCAAAAGAAACTGGTTGTGGGGCTTGATGGTATGTTTTGTAAAGCTCGGGAAGATGAACAAACCTCTAAATCATTAAGGATGATCTGAGGAACTGGAGGTAAAGTGAACCGTACAAAGAAAATAAATGGAAGGCGAGACAATTTTTTATTGCTGCAGAGAAAGTTACTTTCAAGTGGTTGATATCTCTATGGTTCGTGGTTGTATCTGTGGACGGTGAGTGCCTGATGTTCTTTTACCTGTGATGTTATTGTGGATGGCAGCATAACATTTTGTTAAGGGATTATCATCAAACTTACGTGCTCGGTATTACCGTGGATGATCTAGCAAAAACCTGCTTGCTACAAGCCTATATAATCTGTTAAATTTGCCTGATTACGGTGTGCCTGTTAGGTCTTCTGCCATTAACAGTCTTTTACTGCGTCTAACATCGTTTTCAACGCGAATTGGTCTGACCGTTAGGAATGAAAGGATCATGGCGAAATTCTGTACACGGCATTATCTTTGTAAAATTCTATTCACAGGTCCGTTTTGATGCATTCAACAATAATCAACATAGGTGTGAATTCAAGTGAGCACGTATAAACCTCTCTGCTGTCAGTCTACCATAGCGAAAAAGTCCTACTGAAAAAGAAATTCTGTAAAAAAAAAGGAGGGGCCAATAAAGGAGGAGATTTTCTTCAATTCTTGGAGAAGTAATATACCGCCCACTATTTGAGAGTTTTTAACTAAGGCCTCCTTTGGAATTGAGAGCTTTTGGAGGAATTCAACTGAAAAAGTAATTCATGTTAAAATTCTATAAAATTCAAGCGTTCCAGAAGAGCCCAAAACTTGTTTGATTTGTTGCTCTTATGTAAGACGAACTAGCAAGCATATATTATATTAAGTGATGATGTGGTGACGACGCAACTTGTTCTGTTCTCAAATGAACGTTCCGGTGGTCACAAGTCACAACATGAAGTTTTGGACATGTAACAAGTCGAACTTACAAAAATTTCACTCATAAAAAATGTTTCGACTGGATATATATAAAAAGTATATGTATACATTTGTCTCATTATTTTCGTAACACCATAATTTATCCGCTTTTTACATATTTTGAAATAGACAATAAGTGATCAGACCAACATTTTGAAGAGCACGCTGATAGCCAAAACGACACGTCATACGTTACCATGAATGGAGGGAATAGACGTATAGTCAAAACTGTGCTGCCAGCCAGAATTTGATTCCCACTGATCACAACTCACCGTTATTCTTGTGCGTAATGCACAAGATATCAACATATCCAGGAAAGGGAGCTGGCCATCAACTGGATAACGATCGAGACATTCAATTTGCGAAAGAACACTTCAAAAAACCGGCTGAAAAAATTATTTAACTGTGGGAAACTTGGTAATTCTAAGTGATAATTTACAGATTGCTTGTTAAATTTGTTTCTACGAATTAAAAATGATACAATTTGAACATATAATATCATTTATGATGAAATGGGATTATTGAAAGGTTGACTTTTCAAGTTTAAAGATAATACAAAGGCGTCACAATACAGTATGAAAAAAATTAACGAGGACAATAGTAACTTAATGGTGGATCGAAGAATATAAAGGAATATTTGCAAACCTTGTCATTGGCATTTTTTTTCCAACTCAAGCTGTCGTTACTATATACATCATCTCGACATGTAAAAGTTGCGTGCTAAAATTATGTTCAACAAAAAATGTATTTAACTCTTGTAACAAATTAGTAATTGATATGAAGATAGAAGTTCAACTTTGAGATATATCAACGGACTGGTAAGGTCAATTTTGATTGATAACATATTTTTGAATGGACCTATCAGGTCAATTTCGAGAACATATGTAAGATAGTAGTTTCTTCAATACAAGTTCCAAAGAGGCTAATAATTAAATACTTCCTCCGTTTCATATTATAAGTCGTTTTGATTTTTATCTATTCAAACTTTTTTAAATTTGATCAAGTTTATAGAAAGATATATCAATATTTTTAACACAAAACAAACATATCATCAAAATTTATTAAATGTTAGTTTTAATGAAGCTAATTCGATGCTGTAGATGTGGTTATTTTTTTATAAACTGGTCAAACTTAAGTAAGTTTGATTAGGAAAAAGTCAAAACGACTCTATTGTAGAACGAAGGGAAGTAGACAATATTTATACTGTTGCAAATGACAATCACTTGCGTTTTTCGATCTTGATGCGATTGCATTATTGGAATGAAAACAAAATGATATTGCAGCGAAAAAGGAGTAAATGGAGAACATCAGCTTTCAAATGGTCTGAAATCAAAATTTCATTAGGGACATGAAAATTGAATTCACACAGTTGCAAAAACGAAAGAAATTAATTTGAAGGTAGGAAAGCAAGGTCATAAACTGCCTTGCCATTAGGGTAAAGAGATAGTAGTTCCCTGAAAATCCATTGGCAGGTAGAAGGTTGCTCCTAGCAGTTCTATGTACGTAGACGCGTAGTATGCTAAATTGTTGAATCTTTGTGATCACCTGTTGCATGGCTATCTATTCAGGGAAAAAAAAGAGAGAGAGAAAAGCTTGACATTATGTTGAAAAAACTGAAGGATGATATGCTAAAGTCTAATTCTGGACAGCCCAATGCGGACAATCATCTTCAACCATGACCTTTGAATGTTGGGATTATGCTAGTGTGTGGCAAAAGGTCCTGTAGGCTCCAGCATTAATTCTTCGTTGCCAGCTCTTCCACGGTGGATCGTGAGGTGGATGCCTTCGTGTCTGACATGTTTTTGGCTAGTCGGTAAGCTAGGATGCTAGCTCTGGTTTCTTTTGGGTTCGGATGTGTGTTTTTCTTGTGGAGAACGTCATGTGCCCTTCACGCTCTTTTATTTTCTTCCTTGTGTTTTCTCCTATTTGTAATCCTTATTGTAAACTTGTTATCCTTCTATTTATCCTCGAGGGCATTTAAACGTTTTCGCAGTTAATGTTTGCATGTGGAAATCTCTCCCCTGACGACTTTTCAAAATAAAATAAAAATTGAAGAGTAAATTTCATAAAACTGTAACTTTAGTGACAAAACTATCAGTTTGCTGCAACATTAGCGACATGTTTCAGTTTGCTGCAACAATAGCGTGGGAAATTATCATAAAGCTGCAACTTTTACGTTATATGATGATACAGTTGTCATCTATATGTATTGTAGCAGCATATAACATAAAAGTTGCAGTTTTGTGATAATTTCCCACGCTATTGTTGCAGCAAACTAAAACATGTCGCTAATATTGCAGCAAACTGATAGTTTTGTGACTAAAGTTGTAGTTTTCTAAAATTTACTCAAAATTGGATGATGACAGAAATTGGTTACCTATGGTGACGGTGACTCTACATTGATTCACTATAAATACTATGTTTGTCCCAATCAAGGATGAGTTTATTACGAGGAAAAAGCACTTATAACTATATATAGCTAAGCTGTTGAATAGACTTGACATCCATTAGAGTGACAGAGCGTGTGTTAATTTCAACCTAGTAGTCGCAAACCTTAACTCCAGGGACAGTGAGACGCTGAGTGCACGTTTCAGATTATAAGTCGTTTTGACGTTAGTCATAGTTAAACTGTTTCAAATTTAACTAAGTTTATAAACAAATATAATAATATTTATAATACTAAATTACTTTCATAAAATCAATAATTGAATATATATCCATAATAAATTTATCTTTGATTGAAAATGTTACTACTTTTCAAACTTAAAATAGTATATTCATAATAAATTTATCTTTGATTGAAAATGTTACTACTTTTTAAACTTAAAATAGTTTAACTTTGGCCAAAGTCAAAACGACTTATAACCTAAAATGGAACCTAAAATGGATGGAGTAGCAATTCCTCGGCATGCCTGGGTGGACTGGGCCACAATACGTTTGATGGCTTGCATGCCTGTGAAACGACTTGCATGGTTTTCCGACGGTTGTAAGGTGTTGATAACGTGACTTAACATAGGCTGTTTTATAGAGGTTTTATTTATGTGCTTATAGTGGGTAAATATCAACTATTATGTAGATATATATTTCTACATGTGTAATAAATTATATATATATATATATATATATATATATATATATATATATATATATATATGTATGTATGTATGTATGTATGTATGTATGTATGTATGTATGTATGTATGTATGTATGTATGTATGTATGTATGTATGTATGTATGTATGTATGTATGTATGTATGTATGTATGTATAGACACACACACATAGGCGCTCGCTCACCAAATATGAGTGTCCGTGCTAAGTTTAGAACTTCATCCCTGGTAAATTGGTTCTAGAAAAAGAGTCGTAACCAATTAAGATACGCTCGCATCGCTAAATTATATGTATTAGGTGAAATCCTGCATGCTGTTTTGGAGTTTAGTATGATAACAATCAGTAGAAATAATGCGTAGGATAGCTAGATGACATAAGCTTATATAGTTGATGTGATTTATGATAATTTAAATAGTATATAAAATAATGATATAAATTTAAAAGTAAGATGATGTGACATTATGAGAGAAGAAAAAGAAATAAGATAATTTGGACCATAGATTAATCATCTAAGGGCTAAAAATTATTAAGGTGATTATGGCTTAATGAGAGAAAAAAAGAAGAGAGATAATTTGGACCATAGATTAATCATCTAAAGGGTTATTAAAACAATTAATGTGATATGGCTTAATGAGAGAAGAGATAAATAACATTGTAAGTGAGAATAAACTATATAGGACCTATATAGGATACTATAAAAAATAATGGAGAGATATATTAAAATATTACATGGGATAAAGATTTAACATGCTTTTATTTTAAAGCTCTAAAATTTCATAAATTATAGATAATACATATAGCTTGCTTGCATAATGTTTAAGATATAATAATTGTTAGTAGACGATAATGCGATATTTTTGCATATTAAACTTTAGTGGGTTGCAACGTAGAATTAAATTTGCTTCACAACACTTCAAAAACCGGCTATCACTTATTAAATTTCAACTTGTGCAATAAATTATATTCAATTTGCTAAAAGAAAACACACTGCAAAAACCGGCTAAAATTTGTTAACTTTCTACTTATGCCATAAATAAATAAATCACATATAATCACAGCCAACTGACGCATCCTTGTCTCCGAAACACGGAGCGGTTATCGAAATCGGACTCCGTGTCCATACGTTGGCGCGCCTTCAAATTCCAAGTGGAAGAGAAACCATCCCCATGAAGCGACGCCACGTCGAGCGCGCGTCGCATGCAAAGCCCTAGGCTACACCCCTACACGACGCAATCTTAGGCCTCGCCACTGCCGCTTCGCTTCGCCATGGCTGACACCGACCATCGCCGCCGCGGCGGCGCCACCCGCGCGCACGTCGTCCTGTTCCCGTTCATGGCGCAGGGCCACGTCGCGCCGTTCCGGTGCATCGCCGCGCTAGTCCGCCGGTGCCGCCCGGACGCGCGCCTCACCGTCGTCGCTACCCCCGGCATGGCAGAGGCCTTCCGAGCCCACCTCGTCGCGGATGGCGTCGGTGATGGGCGTCTGGCCGGCGTCCACGAGCTCCCGTTCCTCCCCGCGGAGCACGGCCTCCCCGCCGGCGCCGATACCTCGGCCAGCATCGGGTTCCAGCAGCTCATCACCCTCTTCCTCGCCTCCGAGTCACTCCGCCCGGCGTTCCGGCGCTTCGTCGACGATCTCAGGGCGGCCAACCCCGGCGACGACATACACGTCATGGCGGACATGTTCTTGGGATGGGCGGTGGACGTCGCCCGCGACGCCGGCGCGTCAAGCTCCATCGTGCTCACCTGCGGCGGCTACGGCTCGGCGCTCTACTTCTCGCTGTGGGACAGTGTCCCTCTTCCGGCGACAGCTTCCCCCGACGACGGCTTCCCGCTGCCGCGTTTCCCGGATGTCCGCGTGCAGCGCTCGCAACTCACCAACCACCTCGCGGCGGCCGACGGCAAGGACGCCTGGTCCACGTTCATCCAGAGGCAGATCGCTGCCTTCTCCCGCGCCGACGCGCTGCTCGTCAACACGGCGGAGAACTTGGAACCCAAGGGGCTAAGCATGCTCCGTCAATGGCTTAACGTCCCGACCTATCCCGTCGGCCCGCTGCTCCGCGCGCCGGCGCCCTCGCCGGAAGCCAAGAAGACGAGCCCCATCCTGGAGTGGCTCGATGAGCAACCACCTGGCTCCGTGCTGTACATATCGTTCGGATCGCTGTACAGGATCACTGCGCCGCAGATGATGGAGCTCGCGAGAGGGCTCGAGCAGAGCAGCCATAGGTTCGTCTGGGTGATCCGGCCGCCGGCGGGGAACGACGCGAACGGCGAGTTCTCGCCGGAGTGGCTGCCTGAGGGGTTCAGGGAGCGCGCGGAGGCGGAGGGGCGCGGGCTGGTGGTGCGGTGCTGGGCGCCGCAGGTGGAGATCCTGGCGCACACCGCCACCGGCGCGTTCCTGACGCACTGCGGCTGGAACTCCGTGCAGGAGGCGCTCGGCCACGGCGTGCCGCTGCTCGGGTGGCCGCTCTCGGCGGAGCAATTCTACAACTCCAAGCTGCTCGCGGAGGAGATGGTGTGCGTGGAGGTGGCGCGCGGGAGCGCCGCCGTGGACGCGGCCAAGGTGGCAGCTGCCGTGGAGGCGGTGCTCGGCGAGACGTCGATGGAGCGCGCCGCGATGAAGCGGAGAGCGGCAGAGATGAAGGAGGCAATCGACGCGGCGAGGGACGGCGACAAATCGTCGGTGACGGTGATGCGGAGGTTCTTGGACGAGGTGTTGCCGCCGCGCGGCGCTCAGTTCATGGCCTCATGGGCGCTCCAATCAGCATGCTTTCGGGACGGCGCGATGAGTCATCAACTCCGGTCATCTCACCCAATGATGTAAAATACGGAATAATATGATTGTTAGATGAATTAAGGTATTGTAAAACGGCTAGTTGAAATAAATTAGAATTGCGTGGATTAACTGGTGTTTCTAGTAATTTAGGAAAAAAAATTGGTGGAGACCGGATGTAAACCGGCTCCCGTGCAGTCCTGACCCCGATGGTTGCCGCGTGGACATTCTCAGAATCGGACGTCTAGCTCGTTGCGGCTTCAAGCACAACGCAAATACGGCAGATGAGCCTCGCTCGACTCGGCTCCCGGGCCGTCGGCTTTCAGGCTCAGATCCCTCTCCTACCGGTTCCTCCACAGCCGCCGCCGCCGTTGGCGGCCAGCGGCGCCTTTCTCATCTACTGTCTCTCGTCCGTCACCACTCCCTTTCTCGAACGTCGTCCACTCGGCGGTGATGACGAGGGCAACCGACTCGCTAGCCACAACACCACAATCGACCCACTGCAGCAACAACTCCATGCATGGTTGGTCGTTTCGGCAAGAAACTTAATTACCGGTAAGGAGATTGAGGTTAAGGATGATGACGTGGAGGCTGTACACATCGGTCTTGTGATTTTCAGTTTATATATATGAAACCCAAGAAATGTAGCGTGAATCTGGAGCAAATTTGTTCAGAGACAACAAGGTAGTAGATAGTGTTAGTAAAGCACTGTTGTTAAACAAATTAAAGTCTGCCATTTACTTTATCCACTGTTCACATATTGGCCAGAAAACCGTATGATATGTTAATTTGTTCAACTGAACTTGACACTCTTTTACTGAAATATATGCACTGGCCAAGTGACCATGAAGAAATGAAATGCTCAAATCTCCAAAATCTTTAGTATGTATCAAATCTACATGGTAAAGGACCAAAATCAATATTAGCACTTTATCAAATCTAATTAGAATCTGCAAAAATTCAGACTACGTACATCCATTGAAATGTAGCAGTTAACAACTATACTAAAGTTTGAATGCAGAAGCCCAGATCAAACTAACTAATCAAATCAATCCTGCACCATGGTGAGAAAGAAGCCCGTGAGCCTGTGATTGGGAAGAGATAGCATAGCAGCTACTGCCCATAGGAAGATGGAGTACATCTCTGCGCTAGCCGCCGGCAAACAGGGCGACCTCATCGTTAACGTTGCCCGAGGCAGCACATCGTCTTCGTCCTCAGCCAGGGCGGTCACCCTTGGCCACTCGCTATCGCCGCCATGCGGACGACGGACGAGAGAGGCTGCATCGGCGACAGTGGCTGCTACGTACACTGAGAAGAGATGCCGATGTGGGAAACTATTCTAATCCCTCGAGGGGATGTTCCCTCGTTTGCTCAAAAACCATCTAAATGATTATGAAAAATTCTGGAAAAATTTGACAACATTCATACAACATATATATACAACTTCACAAAATTTTAAGTCCAAACTCAACTCACACGTCGAGATATAAAAAAGACAAATTCAGCGTATGAATAGTAGCGTACTGTTTATATCTAAATTTGTCTTTTTTGTTTCTCGATGTGTAGATCGAATTTGAACATGAATTTTTGTGGACTAGTAGGTATCATTATAATCTACATTGTCAATTTTTTTTCAGATTTTTTCACAACTATTTACATCGAATTTGGAAGAAAAAGTTATACGAGAGGATATCCTCTCGAGGGATTAGAATCCACTCCCATGTCGATGTGATCTGAGCCGGTGAGCCGACGGGCCCAGAGCCATCAAGCGAGTCGCGATTCCTCCGTCCTGTTTGCGCTGCGCTTGGAGCTATGCACAGCGAGACGTTCGATCCTAAGGTTGTCCACGCGGCAACCATCGGAGTCGGGGCTGCACGGGAGCCGATTTACACCTGGTCTCCACCAAATTTTTTTCCGTAATTGTAACTACTGGCAAAATACCGTGCTTTGCAACTTGCAACAGGATATTCAAATTATGGATGAAGTGTGTGATTACTCTGGTGTTCAACCTCTCTCAGAATCGTGCAGGCGAGTTCTGTTGGATTGTATAGAACGATGTTGGCGTTGGGATCTTGGGGACGACATCTTGCGAGTTGACTTTCGACGGTTGCGTGGTGGACGAACTCGGAGCTGGGGATGCCTGTTTTCGTTGCTTGCAGGCTTGCAGTATTCTCATTAGCAGCAGCATCATGATCATCCTCATCTTGCATCAGCTCCTCAACAATATCAAAAGAGAAAAAAAACATCATGGATCGGATATCGTCTTCAGACAACTGGAATCATCTTCCGTCGGCGGGATCAGACGGGATACGCCGCAGGGGCGGAGCCGGGATTTTGAGCCACCGGGGTCATGATTTTTAATACTTACGTCTTGTTTGAAACTCTAATTATTCTCGAAGCTAGATATTTTTATAGATATTTTTAGCTCAAAATTCTTTTGGAGCTAAAGCTATGAGTAAGTTGGTATTGTTTCATTTTGCGAAAAATAAATGTTTAAAGTCTATTCTATAAGAATTTATGAGGTTTTTAAGGTCCAAAAAATTAAAAGTTGAGGCTATATACAACCAGGCATAACAACCATGTGTTTTTTCAGACATAAAAGTATGTTCTATTACTCCCTCTGTCTCAAAATACAACTACCTACGTCTCTTTAAGAGATTAATGTTAGGGTGTGAAATAATTATGATTGGTTAAAAAAAGAGTAGGTGAAAAAATTAAATCGGGGAATATTGTGATTCGTTGAGATGGGATGGTTCATTGAAAATAGCTATACTTTAAAGCAAATTTAAATCTTAGAAGTAACATGTTTCGAGACGGAGTGAGTAGCTTAAAAAACACAACTAACATCTAGTAGTTAATTAGCAAAACTACAGGCCTATATACACAGCACATAGCTAAAATAAATAGTTGGTTAATAGATCAAATATGTCTAATTGCAGCATTAGTAGTGGATTGACAGTAGCATAACACAGCTAACAAATTGTGCTTTCAAAGAAAGAAGCTGTATTCTTTTAAGCTTTCATGAGCTCCAGCAGTTTAGCCGGCTGGTCGGGGTCATTAAGCTTTTGCTACTGGGGTCATTAGCTATAAAATACTGAATAATTCACTTGATTGATCGAATGCCATCGGGGTCATCTGACCCCGATGATAGTACTGCAGCTCCGCCGCTGATACGCCGGCGGGGCAGCACCAGGAGACACATTGTTCTCGATAGCAGCAGTTCTCGCAGTAGTGCATACATTGAGCTGTGAACTGAGCCGACCCACAGGCCGGACGTACGTTCTCACGTACGCGTTTGGAACGGCGTGGAATGGAACTGCACATGCACGGTGTTTGCGAGCTCCGTCATCGGATGATCGGACGTATAGATGTCCATATGGCCCACGGCCCGACGGTGCGGCCCATGGCACGGTCCTTCGGGCCATGCCTGGGCCGTTGCCTTGGCACGGTGGGCTAGCATGACATTGACGGAGATTGAAGATTTCAGGGAGGCACAATAGACTTATTTTTAGCCATATGTATAGCACGGCCCCCAGAAAGAGCGAGAGGAAATAGACTTATTTCAGCCATATATAAGACACCGCCTAAATTGGAGGGACACAAAAATAGACTTATTTTAGCCATATATATTGCCTTGGCACGGTGGGCCAGCATCGCACGGCACGAAGATTTCTAAAAGGCGAAATAGACTTATTTTCAGCCATATGTATGGCACAACCCCAAGAAAGAGTGAGGAAAAATAGACTTATTTTAGCCATATATAAGACATGGCGCAAAAAGGAGGGACACAAATTTGACTTATTTTAGCCATATATATATCACAGCCCAAAGAGGGAGACGTTTATATACTTCTATCAAATAAAGCACGATAAGTTGCCGTGCCTTCGGGCGTAGGTGGAGCACGTGGCCTGGCAAGGCCCGGCCTGACCGATCTCGGGCTGTGCCGGGCCGAGCGGCCCATTTGGCCATCTATAATCGGAAGAGCGTGGTTGGCTAGTCCTTTCTCTATCCTATATAGGCAAAGCATGAGTAAGTAGGAAAAGGCGTGAAAGGTATGAAGTGCATGTACGTACTATTTTCTTTTCGGTTATATAATTCTTAATATTTTGGATAATATTAAGGTCAAAACTTTTATAACCTTGACTATCCATAAGTTTAAAATATTTGGTTCAGAGGTACATGAACAACATATATAGATTTATATTACAAAGTGAAAATGTATTTATTTGTTGTATATATTATAATAGAATACATTCAATATGCATATTTCGAATATTGTTTAAAACGTCAAAAACTATAGAATTAGAGAGAGTATTTATATAAGTAGTTTAATTCACATTAGGAATCAGAGGATGTTGGTGGTTCCCGCGGACAGACGCAGCTTCGGTTTGTGCGGGAATTGGACGCAGGCGAGTCATGACATGGATGCTTGACTAGTTCATGCTGGTTCGAGCAGATCGCACTTACAACGCGATGGGCTGGTTCATGCTGGTTCGTGTGGGAAGCCAGGAATCAGATCAGGTGGACGCGTGGATGTCGTGAGGTGTCCATCAATCATAGTCAGATGACATACTACAATCCCGACATAAACACTATTCATTTTTATAATAGTACCGAAGAGATTTGGTCATTGTTGCTTTAACACATTTTATTATGATTTTTCTTCTGCAAGACCTTTTCTTCGATAATCAAACCTAATAATTAAACCCCTCTTGATCCATTATTGTTGTCAAGTTAATTAATTAGGTTGAGGGCTTAGACCAAATTGTAGATCAACTCAAGTACTTTCTTGGTCATAAAGATCTGATGTTGAGATTTAACTTTTAGACTAACTAGGAAGCCCGTGCATCTGCGCGGGTAATTTATTTTGTTGTTTGTAAGAAGAATACTAAAAAAAAGTTATATCACACTATATTTAATATAAAAGAATCATAGATTATCTTATAACCGTAAAAACGAAATATGTATAACATGAAATAGACCAAAGACTTTGGTATACTGAATGACAATGTCTTATCATATTAAAAAACACTTTATCCTGATTATATGTAAACTTGCCTATTATTCCTTCCCAAACATTCGAGTTAATACGGGTTTTTTTTCCTTTATTATACAACGAT